ACTGAGGCTGAGGCTGAGGCAGGCTGAGGCTGAGGCTGAAGCAGGCTGATGCTGAGGCAGGCTGAGGCTGAGGCTGAGGCTGATGCAGGCTGAGGCTGAGGCAGGCTGAGGCTGAGGCCAAGGCTGAAGGCAGACTGAGGCTTTGGCTGAAGCAGGCTGAGGCTGAGGCTGAGGCTGAGGCTGAGGCTGAGGCTGAGGCAGGCTGAGGCTGAGGCTGAGGCAGGCTGATGCTGAGGCAGGCTGAGGCTGAGGCTGAGGCTGATGCAGGCTGAGGCTGAGGCAGGCTGAGGCTGAGGCCGAGGCTGAAGGCAGACTGAGGCTGAGGCTGAAGCAGGCTGAGGCTGAGGCTGAGGCAGGCTGAGGCTGAGGCTGAGGCAGGCTGATGCTGAGGCAGGCTGAGGCTGAGGCTGAGGCTGATGCAGGCTGAGGCTGAGGCAGGCTGAGGCTGAGGCCGAGGCTGAAGGCAGACTGAGGCTGAGGCTGAAGCAGGCTGAGGCTGAGGCTGAGGCAGGCTGAGGCTGAGGCTGAGGCTGAGGCTGGCTGATGCTGAGGCAGGCTGAGGCTGAGGCTGAGGCTGATGCAGGCTGAGGCTGAGGCAGGCTGAGGCTGAGGCCGAGGCTGAAGGCAGACTGAGGCTGAGGCTGAAGCAGGCTGAGGCTGAGGCTGAGGCAGGCTGAGGCTGAGGCTGAGGCAGGCTGATGCTGAGGCAGGCTGAGGCTGAGGCTGAGGCTGATGCAGGCTGAGGCTGAGGCAGGCTGAGGCTGAGGCCGAGGCTGAAGGCAGACTGAGGCTGAGGCTGAAGCAGGCTGAGGCTGAGGCTGAGGCAGGCTGAGGCTGAGGCTGAGGCAGGCTGATGCTGAGGCAGGCTGAGGCTGAGGCTGAGGCAGATGCAGGCTGAGGCTGAGGCAGGCTGAGGCTGAGGCTGAGGCTGAAGGCAGACTGAGGCTGAGGCTGAAAGCTGAGGCTGAGGCTGAGGCAGGCTGAGGCTGAGGCTGCTGAGGCTGAGGCTGAGGCTGAGGCTGATGCAGGCTGAGGCTGAGGCAGGCTGAGGCTGAGGCCGAGGCTGAAGGCAGACTGAGGCTGAGGCTGAAGCAGGCTGAGGCTGAGGCTAAGGCTGAGGCTGAGGCTGAGGCTGAGGCTGAGGCTGAGGCAGGCTGATGCTGAGGCAGGCTGAGGCTGAGGCTGAGGCTGAGGCAGGCTGAGGCTGAGGCAGGCTGAGGCTGAGGCCGAGGCTGAAGGCAGACTGAGGCTGAGGCTGAAGCAGGCTGAGGCTGAGGCTGAGGCAGGCTGAGGCTGAGGCTGAGGCAGGCTGATGCTGAGGCAGGCTGAGGCTGAGGCTGAGGCTGATGCAGGCTGAGGCTGAGGCAGGCTGAGGCTGAGGCCGAGGCTGAAGGCAGACTGAGGCTGAGGCTGAAAGCAGGCTGAGGCTGAGGCTGAGGCAGGCTGAGGCTGAGGCAGGCTGAGGCTGAGGCTGAGGCAGGCTGAGGCTGAGGCTGTGACTGCGACTGCCGTTGCCACTGCGACTGTCATCGCGAATGCGACTACGACTGCGAGAACAGCAGAATTCTGCAAGTGGATTCTCATCCGAATCGTAAGGGGAATGCTTCCAGATATGCTCCTACACATCGCTGTTAGGTTGCTTTGCCGGGATAATTCTACTATTGTTGCATACTCCTCCTGTAGAGGGACATGCCCGACTTACTCTTAATGTTCTTCGATGGCTCCTCGGGCCGTCTTGGGACTCTCTTGGGCCGTCCGGAGGCCTCGCGGAACGCTCTTGAGACTCCGTGGGCACCCCTTCTGGGCCCCGTGGAGGCCCGACCTGCTTCGAGGGCCCTCCAGGGGCCACCCGGAAGCACTCCAGAGGCGATGCCGAGACGAGGACCCCGCTCCCAAGCCAAGAGCCGAGGGGATTGTCGGGCGGGGTCGTTCTTGCCGTGAAAGGGGGCGGGTGGCAACGCCACGGCGAGAGCGCCTCCCGACCGAGACGCGAGGGCGCATCACGCGGAAGCGCTGGTTGTTGGCAGTCCGATTCTCGGCGGCGGGCAAGGAGCGCCAGTCCTGAGTACAACCCGCGGACGTATCGAGTGAGAGCGTCCATGCTCCAGGGGGGCAGAACAACGCCGAGGCGAGAGCGCCCCTCTGGAGGGAAAAACGCGGAAGCATCGAGCGGGAGCCATGGTTCTGTTGGACGTCCAGTCTTCGGCTGCGAACAACAGCGCCAGACCTGAGCAAAAAGTGAAAGGTCTCGAGCGGGAACGCTGTTGCCTGTAGGGGCCAGTGTCGGCGGACCCCCGAGACCCTCCAGCAGCGTGAGCCTCGCTTCCTAAGGGCACATGGCTGGCGCCGAGGCGAGGGCGTCTGGGCGCCCAGGGGGTGTCCAACAATACCGATTGCCTAGCTCAGCAGGTCAGGATTCAACACTCCGACAAATGCAGCCACGCGCATGAGGAGAAGGCGCAGCAGCCAGGAGGAGGAGGGCATAGCGCTTGCTGAAGGCGCCCACAAGGGGGTGGCGCGACAGGAGTGGGCTTCTAAGAAGGCGGGCGGCTTCCATAAGGCAGGGGGCTCGGGAATCTACGGACCCAAATCAAAACAAACCCGGGTCAGGCGGGCATTGCAGGATCCTGGGCGCTAACCCGGGTCAATGCAACCCTGGCTTTGCAGGAGCCTGCAAGATCCGGCGCTCTGGCTGACCCCCGTCTGCACTGACCCCCGCCTCGGGGCTCCCGAGGGGGCTCCGTACAGCCCGCCCAGCCTCTACGAGAAGCTCTCTGAGAAGCACCCTCCGCCTCCTCAGAAGGCCGCGCACCTCGCGACGCCCCCCTCTGCGGGCGCCGCCGAGAGAAGGCGCAGCAGCTGGGGAGCCCACAGAGAACGCACGCGCCCACGCACATGAGTACGCCCCCCCCAGTCCGCGAGACTGGCCTCGCGGTACGAACGCTCGCACAACACGTACTCTCGAAACCAGCGTGGGTTCCTGCACACGAGCGCGTCCCTGTTGCGCTCCTGAGCGGCCAGGAGGAGGGCAGTCGGCCGCGAGCAAGAGAGCGACCCCGGGGCAAGAAGGACCCTCGGCGCGCGGCTCTGCGGGGGCGCGAGGGGGGCCGGGTTCGAGCAGGTAAGCCACTTCGGGTCAGTGCTGGGGGCGCCCCTGAGGGCCCGCACCGGCGAATCGGGGGCGTCCAAGAGGGAGGGCGTCCAAGAGGAGGGGGGGGCGTGCAAATCATGGCTGGCGGCGCGTGCCCAGCCCAGGGGGGGCTCGGGGAAGCACTGAAATAAAAAGAGGCGTCATGAAACCTGGGGAGATATCATGGCCCCCTCTTCCCTGATATCCGAGGTCGCGGAAGAATTGCAACATTGAACAACAACAAAAAAAAAAAAAAAAAAAAAAAAAAACGGACCCAGGACCCAATCGCTCTGCGCCATTTTTCGGGCCGGATCAATCTGTCTGGGCCCCAGGGCCCGAAGCGGGGCGAAAACGCCTGTCGTGAAAAAGAATTGCCGCGCCAGGCTCTCGAGGCTGGCCGCCACTCCTCACGCGGAGCCGGGGACGGCACAGACCAGCAGCCCGAGAGGAGCTCGAAGAGCCCGGCTCTCGCCGAGACACCGCCTCCTCGGCCGGGGTCCCCGCTCGCGCCCCCCCCCTTTTGCTGCCCCTGGCCGGCGGGCCGGCGTCAGAGAGGCCCGCGGGGTCCAGCCGCCTCTTCGGCGGCGTGGCGCGCGCGCGCGCCCTGGCGGGGACCTGGGACCCCGAGATCCGAGAATGTGTGTTTCTTCAATCCGGCGGCTTGTCCTGGATTTCGGCCTCATCGGGACCGGGGGCCATCAAAAGTGGATCCGGGACGATGAGCCGCCCTCTGGGGAAAGGGTCGGGACCTCTGGGGCCGCGCCTTGAAGAAAAAACATACATCGGCGGACGTTTGGGGCGGCGCGCACCCCTCTGAGAAGGCGCGGGGGGGGTCCGAGAAGACGGGGGCCGTGCTCCGAAGCCCTCCGTGCTTGCGAGAGGCCTTCCTGAAAGCCTCCAGGCCCTTCATAAGAAGGCCCCTTCTGCCTTCTAAGAAGCGCGCCGCCTTAGAAGGCCCACCCCTCCTCGCGTCACCCCCGTGCGCGCGCCGCCAAAGGGGAGGAGGGGGGAGGGGAAAGAGGGGAGGAAGAGGGGAGGAGGGGAGGGGAAAGAGGGGAGGAGGGGCGGAGGGGAGGAGGAAGTGAGGAAGAAGGGAGGAGGGGGCCAGAGGAGGAAAACCTGCCGATACTGCTGCCCTTCCCTCGTCGCCACGGCCAGATTTCGACGCGAGATTCTGGCCAAGAGCGCGCACCGGGACAGAGGGCGATCAATCCTCTTGATGGTCTCGACGTCCACCCCCCGCATTGTAGAGCGCTGTGGCCCCTCCTATGCGAAGGCTGTGGCTGCACATCTTCGTCGGGTCGATCCCACAGGCGCTCGCCGCAAGTGAGAGGAGTTCCTGGATCCTCGGCCTCCTCAGCATGTAGCCCGAGGCCGGGCGGAAAAGTGGTTGGTCCTTCTCCTGCTGCCATCGCTCGGGGCGCACGGGCTGCAGCAGGGCCAGCGCGGCCACGTGGTCGATCGGCTGGCTGGCGGAGTACATGTTGCGCAGCGTGCCCTGGTTACATTGTTTTGTCTTCGAACCTCGCGCATGGACGGTCACCTCTTCGGCCCCCTCGAACCAGTCCTGGGCTGCGCCGTTCCTCCTGGCCTGGACGTCGGCGCCACGCTCGGCCCACGTGCCAGGGGGCCCCGTCCACCGCCGCGTACTCCCCGGCCCTGAGGAGGAAGAAGAACGCCACCTCGAGCGCGGACCACTCCGTGGCGTTGTCGCACACGTCCTCCTGCAGGTGAGCGCAGAGCCATCGGAGCATGTCCAAGTCCCACAGACACCGCGGGTGACGTACCCTCCAAGGGCGCGGCCGCGGGTGGAGGGCGCGCTGAGCCCTGGCCCGACTGGCCGGCCCGCCCTCTGGCTCGCTCGCGCTCCTCAAGCCAGCACTGGCACGCTGGGCCGGGCCGCGCCGGCTCGGGCCCAGGCCTGGAGCCACGCCCCCAGAGCCCCCCGCATGATGTCCTTCTCCGCGTCGAGGCCGACTCCGGCGCGGGCCTCCCGGAGGCCTGCTCCGTCCAGCGCCTGCGCGGCTGCCTCCAGCTGCGCTCCTGCCGCCCCTTGGGGGAGCCTCCTCGCGGCCGCCCTCGCCAGGTCCTCAACCCCGATGCCCGCGTCGATCGCCGTCCTCCAGCCCTGCACGGAGCCTCCCGCGAGCTGCCACACCCTGGGGGGCTCTAGGATGCGCGCCCCCTTCCCGTCGCCCATGTCGTCGCAGATGAGCCGGCCCCCGTAGCCCGCGAGCTCGTCCTCGATGGCGCGCGGGGTCGCGGCTGGTTCGCGAACCAAGCGCCCCTTCGCCCCAGCCTGGTCCGCGGACCGCAGCTCGCCCGTCGTGGCGATGCGGTCGTCGTGCTGGGCGCCCTCTGCTCTCCCTCGCCAAGCCGCGCCTCCCGTTGCTTCAGGGGGTGGGAGGCAGGGCGCCAGCGCCTCGGCCACTGGCTGGCTCCTGTCGGCCAGGGCTTCTAGGAAACGGGCGGTCCCTTCCCTGTCTGGCGCGCCGATCACCACCGCGCGGTTCTTCGCGACCCGGTCGCCGAACTCGGCGGCGAAGATGGGGCGGCGGGTGACCGTGCACCCGCGCGCCTCGAGGGCGGCACCCTCGCCCAGGACTGCTCCGCAGGGTGCATCTGCCACCACGAGGGCTGGAGCGGTCTGTTGCGCCACGAGGGGCAGGTGGCACATCTCCCTGCCTCCCGCGTCTGCTGCGAGGGCCGCGCAGAGGACCCCTCCCGGGCTGAGAGCCCCAGCGGGCTCGTCCACCTCGCGCAGGCCTCCGCGGGGGGGCGTCAAGCAGGCCCTCCAAGCTTGGCTGGCCCGTCGGTCGCACGAGACCGTGGTCCGGGCTCCCCGCGCGACCGCCGCTCGGGCGTAGCTGGGGCCACCCGCTCTCCACACGCACACCTCCACGCCCGCCAGCAACTGGGGCAGCGGGCGGGCCGCCTCCTCCGCCCCCTGGCGCCTCCGCGCCAGCTGCCTCGCGACGCCCCCCCCTTCTCCTGCCTCTTGCCCGGGAGCACCAGCGGGCCCCCTTGCTCCAGCTCGACGAACAGCGCGCGCCACCGCTCTAGGAGAAGGATCTCCAGGAGCCCCCGGCGGCCCATCTGCTGCTTGCTGCACCTCTGCGCAGCGCGCGTGGTCAGGTCCGTCGAGAGGCTGCGCTTCGTCCAGATGCCGGCCGCGACGATATGGAAGTTGCCCCGCGTCTCTGCCAGCTGGAGCACCCGCAACGCGTACCTGGCAAGCCTATTGCCGGCGCGCCGCTTGGTGCGCCAGATCCTCGCGTTCTCATTGTCCGCGACGCACAGCACTGGGCGGCCGCCCCACGCCTCCATCTGGGATACCGCCAACAGCACGATGCACAGCAGCTTCCCGACGGCGATGATGACCTCCTGCTGCTCCTCGCTCTCGCAGGCTTTCAACGGCCCCGCCAGTCGACGCAGCCGAGGGCATGGAGGGCGCTGTCCCCCCTGTCCAGACGAGGCGCTCCAGTTCGCCGGGAAGGGTCAGCCTCCCGCGCGGGGTCGGGAGGCCCATCAAGCACGACGCGAAGTGCGACCCCCAGGTCTCGGGGGCCCCCGCGTACACCCTCGCCGTCTCCAGCGCCTCGTCGAACTCGGACCACGTCAGCCTCTTCTCCAACTCGCTGCCCTTGGGGTCCGCCATCCCCCCGCCCGGGTCACTGGTGGCTAGCGGGCGCGAGATGGCCCCCAGCTCCGGGCGCAACGCGCTGCGCGCGATGCAGCAAAACTGACGGTGGCCGCGCAGGACGTGCAGGCTGTGGACGGTCACGCACCGCTTGGGGACACAACGCCGATCTTGGTGTTGGTGTCAACCTCTAAGGTCCGCGCGGATTTCTTAGATCCGCGCTGGACCCCCTCCCTGACGCGCGGAGCGCGCTAGGGGCGGTGCCGGAGGCGCCACCAGGGGGGTCCCAGCGCCGACACGAGAAATCCGCGCGGACCTCCGAGTTTTTATGTTTATGTCACTGCTCGTTCCCCTACAAAAAAACGCCGACCGAAAGCCTCCCGAGCAACGCACGAAGGGCGGAAGCACACACGCCCGGAGCGGCCGCGGAGGCGCCGAAGGATGGTCTCGAGGCGGCCTGGGCCGCCGACGAAGAGCATCCGAGAGGGCCTCGAGAGCCAAAACTCTACGATTTCCCACGCGCTTTTGATACAGGTTCAGGATCTTTGGAAACGCCCAAGGGTCATACTCTGGAGGCCTGCGCGGAGGCGCGGAGCAGGGGGCGCTGGGAAAAAAACAAAAACAGGCATTTTGCGCATATGACGTTTGCCTTCCTAAACACACGTTCAAACAGGATCACAACTCCTTCTCGCAATGTTCGGTCGCGCCAGCATTGCCGCAACGCGAAAAGAGGAGAACGTCACGTTCTCATCTTTTCGCGCGTCTGCAAACCCCGAGATCCTGGCGTTCCATTTTTTTCACCACGGTCGTTGCCGCCCCGTGTCGGGCCCTTGGGCCCTCACAGATCCATCTGGCTCGAAAAGTGACGCAGAAAGATAGGGTCCGGGGCAACAATCCTGATTTTTCTGCGATGCTACAATTTTTCCCCAACGTCGAAACTCAGGCAATCTGGAACGGCACAAGAGGCACTCCAAGCGAACCCAAACGGCCCAAGAGGCCCCCCGAGAAGGCCCAGAGACGGCCCCAAGACGGCCCACGGGGCGCCCAAGACGGCACCAAGCTTTCAAGGGGGCCCAGGAGCCCTGAGAATGCTCCACTAGGCCGTCCCGTGGGCCTCCAAGAGGCCCCCGAGAAGCCTCGCAGCAGACGTGGAGGAGAAGGAGGACGAACCAGCAGCAACCACACGCAGGCAGCACGGCGGGGAGCGCCCCACGGCACACGCAAGAGCGGAGGCCGCACGTCTCCCCGCGCCTCCGGGGGCCGGCGGAAGGGCGCAGGCCTCCGACTTCGAGACGTCTTGACCCCCGGGAGCGGGGGTGGAGAGAGGGGGAGCAGAGAGGCGGGGAGGCGAGGGGGGGAGGGAGGAGGGCGAGAGGTGCAGCGACGGGGGGGCCAGGCGGGGCGCCCGCGCAAAAAAAAAAATCAAAGACAGCCCGGCGAGAGCCGAGAGCAGCTCGGCACCTCTCAGGCCCCAGCGGCCTAAGGAGGTCGGGCCCGCACCGCCAGGCCTGTCCCCGCCGCCCAGGGGGGGGCCGCAGCTTGCGCGTCGCTGCGGTCTGGCCTGCCCTACTACGCCTTCTCGCCGTCCGCGCTCTTCGCCAGCAGGTGCTTCTTCTCGTCGGCCCTGTCGCCGAGGAGGCCGGCGAAGCTCTTGTAGAAGAGGGCGCCGAAAACAATGAGCAGGCTGCCCACCTGTGATAGGGGAACAAAAAAAGTGACACAAACAAAAAAACTCGGAGGTCCGCGCGGATTTCTCGGATCGGCGCTGGACCCCCCTCCCTGGCGCGCGGAGCGCGACAGGGGCGGCGCCGGAGGCGCCGCCGGGGGGCCCCAGCGCCGATTTGAGAAATCCGCGCGGACCTCCGAGTTATTATGTTTAGGTCGCCTTTTTTGTTCCCCTGAGCACAGCGCGGCACGAGCACGAACTCTCGGACGCCCGCGCGGGCTTCTTGGATCGGCGCGCCGGGAGGCTCCGCCAGGCGGCCCGCCACACCGGTCCAAGGGAGCCGTGCGGACCTCCGAGAGCTTTTGTGCTGCTGCCGGCGCGCTCGCGTGTGCGGCACCTGGTAGGGCGTGATGCTGTTGTGGTAGGTCGCGTAGGACACCATGATCGAGGCCACCTGTCGGACGTTCATGGTGGCTGCGTACACGAGGGCGCCGAACTCCTTCACCTGGAGGGCGAAGGAGCGGCGAAAACATAACCTGTCAGAAGGTATCTGTACACCACCGTGCTAAAAGCCAGGCCCATCCTGGCCCTGGCACGGTGTATACGCCCTCCTGGCCGTGGCCAGGAGGGCCTATACACCATCGTAGGGCCAAGGATGGCCCTGGCCTGGCACGGTGGTCGTCGGAGTCTTGGATCTGCGCCGAACTCCCCCCCCCTGGCGCGCGGAGCGCGCCAAAGGGCGGCGCCGGAGGCGCCGCCGAGCGGGCTCCTGCGCCGATCCGAGAAGTCCTCGCGGAGCTCCGAAAGTCTACGTTTATGGAGTGCTGTCTCTTCGATCACCTGCGAATAGATAAAGAACTGCGCCGTGACTGCGGAGCCGCTCAGCACCAGGGCGTCGGCCACGAAGGAGGGGTGCCCCGAGCAGAAGGCCAGGGCGGGCAGCAGGTCGCCCGTCACCAGGAGCGTCGCCAGGGAGACGACGGAGGAGAACATGTTGACGTACATCATCTGGTTGTACTTCGAGGTGGCGTGCTCCTTGAAGAGCTTCTCCTGCATGGTCGAGGTGAAGCCGTCCAGGCCCAGGAACGCTAACAGCAGCATGAAGCCCACCACGCTGCTTCCCGTGGAGGTCTTGGAGGACACCGGCCCGGTGAGCAGGAAGCTGGTCACGCCAAGCGTGACAGCAAAAGCAACCGCCCAATCCTGAATGCCGTACCTCTTCCCAGAGATCACGATGCCCCACAGCATAACGGGCATCATCTTGAAGCTCTTCCCCAACATCTGCACGGGAAAGGAGACGTACTTGAGGGCCTCGTACTGGCACGTGCTGGCATAGACGTTGGACAGCGAGATGGTGAGATACTTCCACAGGGGGGCTTTGGACGCCAGGCTCTCGCCCTTGGCCACCGCCATGGAGACCGCGAAGACGACGGCGCACACGCGGTTCACGAAGACCAGGAAGACGGAGTAGGTGAACAGCTCCCCGCCATAGCTCAGGGTGATCACCCGCTCCTGAGGAGAAGGAGGAGGAGGAAGAGGCGGAGGAGGAGGAGGAGGAGGTGGTGGAGGAGGAGGAGGAGGAGGAGGCAGGAGGAGGAGGCGGAGGCGGAGGCGAGGCGGAGGCGGAGGCGGAGAGGAGGAGGAGAGGAGGAGGAGGAGGAGGAGGAGGAGGAGGAGGAGGAGGAGGAGAGAGGCAGCGCCTCATTACACAGAGCCTAGCTGGGCTCGCAGCCCTGGGGCCCAAGACCGCCCGGGCAGGACCGGTGCACGCGCACGACGGGCGCCTCCTGCGCTCCTGCAGCAGCCGTACACCAAGAGGGCGAGGATGATGCCGGAGGCGTAGAACGCGCACCACACGGCCTGCACGAGCGGGGACGGCGTGGACTGCGGGGCATGGGGCAGCGAGGGCCTGGGCGGTCGGGGCGGCCATTCGCGCCGGGAAGTGGAGCCCGAAACAGATGGGGGTTTTTCGTTGACCGGGTCGAGTGCGGCGGCTGGGCCCGAGCCGAAAGCAGTGCGAGGGGGGGCGGCGGGGCGCCGGCCCACGTCCTCGGGGGGGGGGCGGCCCTGGGTGGCAACATGGGAGAAGCGGGTCCTGAGGGAAACGGGTGCCCTTCCCCAGGACGAGCTTTTCATCCTGACTCGTTTTCTGACGGTCTTGGGGCCCGTGGAGGGCCCCGGGGAGCCTAAGACGGCGAAAAACCTCAGGACCCGTTTCCCTCAGGACCCGTTTCCCCCATGGCGAGAGGTCCGCACGGATCGGGGACGCACGGACCCGGGTCAATGCAAACCTGGGTCCGTCAGGCCCTGCAGGACCCTATGAGATCCTGCAGGATCCTGCACGCACGCCCGGGTCAGTGCACCCCTAGCTCTGCAGCATCCTGCAAGGGCCTGCGCTCGAGCTGACCCACGTGTCCCTCAGGACCCGCTTCTAAAGGCCTCCTAGATGGGGTCGGAGTAGATGGGGTCGGAGAATCGCGCCGCCTCGCCGATACATCGGCGATACATCGGCGATGCGTCGGCGGTGCATCGGCGACGCCAGCGTGGAGAGAATCGGGCTCCACATCGAGCCGCATCGCCGATGCATCGACGATACGGCGCGATCCCCCGACCCCATCCTCTCGGACCCCATCCAGGAGGCCTCGAGCTTCCCCCACGGCGCCTGCGAGACCCTGGCGGGGGCGCCTGAGCGCAGGAGGGCTCCCCCGAGGGCGCAGGGACACCCGGACGGCACCCGCACGGCGGCAGCGTGCGGGCTCCGGTGACGCCCGCGGGCGGCCCCTTCCGTCGCCGATCGGGGCCCCGCCCCCGCGCCTCTGGGCGGGGCACTCCTCGCCGCCCCTCGGCGGGCTTCGCGGGAGCCCTGCCGGCGCGGCCGGCGCCCTCGGGCCGGGGGCGCGGGCACCGAGGCTGCCACAGGGGCCCAGGACTCCTGGGCCCCGGAGGCTCCGCCCAGGGCCCCTCGCGCGGGGAGGAAGAGCACGACGGGAGGCTGCTCGCCGTGCGCGGCCTCCCGGGGCCCTCTCTGGGCCTCGGGGCCGTCAGAGACGCGGCTCGGGACGAAAGCCCCGCCCCGGGGAAGGGGTCCGTACCTCTGGGGGTCGGCGTTGTGAAAAAATCGCGGCGTCGGGGGTCTGGCGAGGCAGCAAGAGCGGCGGACATGCCCGTGTCCGCGCCCTCGCGGTCTGGGCTCTCGGTCGCGAACCCGCGGATGTACGCGCTCGCACGGATACGCTCCGCGCGGGGCAACCGCGGAAAAACGTCCCGCAATTACGCAGACCCCCGACGTCGTGATTTCTTCGCAACGTCGACCCCCAGAGGTCCGGACCCCTTCGCCAGTACCAGTTGGGGTGCAGCGCCGGAGGAGCAGGGACCGCCCGCAGGCGTCCAGAGTTGCTGTCGCGCCGGCGTGCGGCTGCGCCCTCCCCAGGAGGAGGGCGAGGAGCGGATCTCGGGAGGTGGGGAGGCGGGAGGTGCCCCATCGTAGGGAGGTCTTGCGCAGTGTCCCTTCTGATGTGCTGGCACGTGCACTTCAATTCACACTCCTCCTTCTCGTCCTCCTCCTCCTCCTCCTCCTCCTCCTCCTCCTCCTCCTCATCATCATCTCATCATCATCATCATCATCATCATCATCCTCCTCCTCCTCCTCCTCATCATCATCATCATCAACATCATCATCATCCTCATATCATCATCATCATCATCATCATCATCATCATCATCATCATCATCATCATCATCATCATCATCATCATCATCATCATCATCATCATCATCATCATCATCATCTCATCATCATCTCATCATCATCATCATCATCATCATCATCATCATCATCATCATCATCATGAAACCCGAAGCGCTCGCCCTTGGGGGGGCGCCTGGGCTTCATTCCTGGTGCAGCGGGGCTCGCGGAACAATGTGCTGAAGCCCGCCGCCAGCGCCGTGTCCTTGTTGAAGCCCGCCGCAGGCGCTGACTTTGAAGACAAAACAACGTGGGGTAGGTCGCAGGGCGGGTCGCGAGGATCGAAAGCCGATATAAAGAATCCCACCACGAGCACCGACTTTTCAACACAATCACCCCACCGCACGAGCCAGGAAGTCGACTCGAGCGTGCTCGCTCGCTTCTGGTGCACATCGCGTGCCCTCCCAGTGCGAGCCCGCTCGCCTCTGGTGCACATCGCGCGGCCAGCGCTGCTCCCCAACTAGACGTGCGTCACAGATCCCTCCCTACAAGGGCTGCAAGGGCTCTGAGACGGTGCCCCTCCCGGCTCCCCCCGAGTCCCCCTGCCGCGAGCCTCGCGTGGCGTGCCCTCTCGCCGCTGGCTGGCGGCGCGCACGGGGTGGGGCAAGGGGGAGGAGGGAAGGCTTCTGGGAAGGAAGCCGCTTCTCGGAAGGTGCCTGCCCTACATCTGTATATAGGGGAACGAGCAATGGCAGAAACACAAAGACTCGGAGGTCCGAGATTTCATGTTTGTGCCGTTATTCCTTCCCCGAGTATAGAAGGCCCGCGCCTTCTAAGAAGCGGGGATGCTTTTGAAGAGCCTTCCCCCCCCCCGAACTACCCCCCCTTCTGCGCGTAGCCGGGCGGGTGCACGCCGCGCGGCCCGCGCGGATTTCCCAGCAGGCTGCCTCGTGGCGCGCCCGCTCGCGGCCGAGGGCTACCGCGCTGCCAACGCTCGCGGCCGAGAGCAGGCCAGGAAGCCCACTCCCCGGCGTGCCCACGCGCTTTTCCTTCGGCGGTGGACAAACCTCCCTTTAGTGAACCTCCCCTCAGTGAAAACGGCCTGGGACCGAAACCGACGGACCTGGACCCGCAAGAATGAGGGCCGCGCAAGAATGGGACCGAAACCGACGGACCGTGGACGCGCCAGCGCGAGCCGAGGGACAGCAGAAGTCTCTGGGCCCTTAACGGGCGGCGAGCGAGGGGGGAAGTGAGAAGGGGGCGGGCCCTCTCGAAGGCAGAAGTTTCCCTGCGCCTTCCCCGAAGACACGGCAGACCTCTGAGGGTGCGAGGACTTCTGAGAAGCCCCGCCGCCCTCTGAGGAGACCTCCTCCTCCTCCTCCTCCTC